TTTCCTTTAAAGTCAATAGAAGTAACTTACCCAGTAATTAAGATGATTTATCAGCCATTGCTTTCAACTGTTTTAGAAAATTTATCATAATTCTGAATTGAAAAGCAGGCATGATATACTTTGTGTTTTAAAATTTGGTGACTCAAGAATGAGCTGTTAAATTATAAATGCTCTCTTACGGTATGTTTCCTTTATAAAGTTGCGTAAGAATTCCAAGTTACAAAGACAGTGAAGACCAAGGAATGACATGTAAAATTTTAATTGGGTGGGAAAGTGTTTCCTATTTTAGAATGGGCATAACCTAATGCTGAACTAGTGAACTCTTAAGAAAAACAATGAATTGTTTTTCAACGCTTTGTGTCCAAAGACTATTAATCATATGGCTGTCAAATGGCTGGTGCTATCCTGCCAATAACATAGCTAAAATAATAATTGGTTTGATAAACTTATTTCAGTTTTAAAATTGGTCACTGGTTAATTAAATACAGGTAGTTCTAAAACTACTGATTGATATAATAAGCACCTTTTTCTGTATAAAATAAAAGGCAGTGTTTTCACTGGAAAATAGAGTAGTATAAGACATATTGCCAACTTTAAGGATGGAAAATTTATTTAGAGAGACAAAGCATATATCTTTGAAAGCCAAATAATATTATATTCATGTCTATAAGAAAGTAGTGCAACACAAACCAAGATACACATAAATGAGAATAGAAACTCCTGAAATAACAGGTCAATCCCACTCCCATAATTTTTCCTATACCCCGAGGACTGCCTGAAAATTTCACTCAGAAAACATAATGCAAGATAATAAGACTGATACTGTAAGGATAATCCACATTCACCACAAGTTATAAACAAAACATCACTATTTTATTCATAGTAATTATGAGCTATTCGTTCTTTTCAATGTTATAATAGTTAATAAAGCTGTAGACTGCCCAATAAGGTGGTCATGAACCACATGTGGCCACTGAGTTTTAGAAATTTGGCTACTCCAAGTTAAGATATATAAATAAGTGTAAAATATGTGTGGGTTTTGAAGACAATATAAAAAAGTGTGAAATATTAATATTCTTATATTGATTATGAGTTTATATGATAATTTGGACATCTCAGTGAATTAAAATTAAAATTAATTTTATCCCTTTTTTATTTTTTACTATGGCAACTAGAATATTTAAAATTACATGTATGTGGCTTGTATTATATTTCTGTTGAGCTGCACTACTATAAAAGTTCTACTTGAATTTAGAGACAAGAACTTACTGTAAGGTTATAAAATTTTAAGAAAGTATCTGTGTGAAAAGGATTTTGTTCCTAAAATGTGACTGAATGCATCATTATCTAGTCTCTGCTTACAAACATTTAGCATTACTTTAAAATCAGTGTGTTTTTAAAACATTACAATCCTAATCAGATGTTCTTATATAAGCCTAAAATTTAGGCTCCAAATAATTTTTGCCCACGGATTTTAGTTAATCACTTTGAAACCACACAAAATAAAACTACTCAAATTCTTAATCTTCATAATTTTTTTTTAACAAAATGCACGGTAGTCTTTTATTGGAAAATCCAGATCCTACACATTGAACTAAAGAAGTCTAAGTTTCCATTATCTTGCCCGAATAATTAGTTATTCATTTTTTGGTAGTCTCTCCCAAAGCTCTTTTTACATCTTTCCCCTTTTTTATGTTTACCTGGTGGTATCATGTTCCTTAATATTTGGGCAGCAGTTAACATACATACTCATATAATGCTAACCAGTCAGGTCTTTTGAAATTTCTACATGGAAATTGTGTTATTTAAAATTCCATGTCACTAAAAAAGCTCCTTGAAATGTCTATTTTGACTCTCAATTATTAGTCTTTTGTTCACTTATTTTTTCAGGAAACATTTACTTGTGAATATTTACTATGTACCAGGAATGGCTCTAGGTTGAACATGAGGAACGCAACTCCATAGGATGTCTAGGCAACACACCCCACTCACTGTGCCTGTTGTATGCCTTTTCTGTCTCCAAATAATTCCTGATTAAAAAAAAAAAAAAAACAACTGCACACTGTAAACTAAATGCAAGGCCATGATACCACTTTCTATATTGCTGCAGATAAATTAATTAGTAGTTTTGTTCTTCAGAATTACATAACTCTACCAAACTGGAATCTAAAATTCTCCATATTCACCATTACAATGTTATGATTTCGTCAAATCCCTTGGTAAAATAAAGACTCATTATATCAATAAGCATTTATTTTATCCTTTAAAACTATAGATTTCAAGGGAGTAAGGGTTTGAACTGAGCCAATGGATGATTAGGATTTTGAGAGGAAACAAATAAGACCCAAGATTTATAGAGCATGTATTTATATTGGATGAATGCATAGAATTTTGAGAGAAAATAATAGTCAACATTTATTAAGCTTTTATTATATACCAGACACCATTCTAACATATTTGATCTTAGTAACAGCCCTATGAGGTAGATATTCATCTTATCTCCATGTTATAAAGAAACTGAGGTTCAGTGAGGATAAATAACTTGTCTAAATTCCCTCAGCTAGCAAATGGTAGAGCCCAGATTCAATCCATGCATTCTCATACAGAAGTTTATGTTCTTCACCAGAAGATGAAAAGTATTCTAAGGGCATTGAAGGAGGCGTAACAGAAGGTCACCAAATGACCCGCAAAAAAAGGTCTATATTAGGAACACTTAAATAAGGCTGGAAAGTCTTTGGGGCAAGATTAGGGGAAGCCTTGACTGCTGTGCTGGAGTTTGGACTTTATTTATACTCAGTAGATGCAGAAGGTTGTTCAGCAAATAAATAGTATAATGAAAGAAAGGTTTTTGAAACATAGTAAGCTGATCATTGGGCACAGGCTGGAATTGGTTTGACTGAAAGGAGATTTTACATCTGTTCAAAGCTTATTGCTTTAGTTTTGTGTGAGGACCAGGAACAACGATGGAGCCTCTGTGAATACAAAGCAAGTGGATCATAGCAAGTCAATTGACTCTTGATATTTGTTAGACATTAGAGTGAGATATTAAAAAATAACATGACTTATGTTTTACATCTGAATGACTGAGAGAAATGGTCTTCTATTAACAGAACTACGGAATTTAGTATTGTAAGTAGTTTGGGGAAAAGATAATGAACTCCATACTACAAATGTCAAACTTCAAGTGAAAATTCAGCTGGCTATTGGAGAGACTAGATGGGAATTCAAAAGTGAGATAACAGCTTAGGGTGAAGATTTGGAACATATAAAATATTGTTAAATTCATAGAAAATTGTATCTTAAATTCATAGAAGTTAAATTCATGGAGAGAGAAGCTAGAGAAGAAGCAGTGGAATAAAACAGGTAAATCTGACTGCAAATAGACCTATGTTCTTCTGACATCCAAGTACACAATAGAAGTTATTTTAAGTGTGATGTATCATTATATATTCACGAAATCACATAGAACAGTTGCTTTCATTAAATATTAGCAAATGTTTACAGCCATTTAATAACAAAATATTACCAAATTGATAATTATTCAGTTATAATTCTAAAGGATGTTAATCTTTTTACTTTTACCATGTAAACAATGTATGATTTTAAAGTACAATAATTGCTAATAATACAGAAATTGAAACTTTAAGCATGTTTATAGCACTACCAATCTATATTGGTTCAAATAACTCATATTTCAAATGGCAAATGATCATTAGGTTTTAAAAACTGTTACCATAATAGGTCACTTAAAATTATAAATCCTTTCATGGGTGTGTAGAAGTACCTAGAAGATATGTGGTTATTCATGTTGCATATGAGAATCATGTCATCATGAATAGCATTTGATTATTCACTTCTTCAGTAGTGACAGATTATTACCTTTAGATATTTAGTTTTTCTTTTACTCTTATCCGCATTGTTCACAAGAAATTGCCATCTAATAAAAATTCAACCTCTGCCTGGGAATGTGACTGGGGAAGGGTAGGTGGGGACCAAACTTGGTGAATGTAATCGTCCTGGCATAAGACACAGGGGTCATTACTGAATTGGTTTTACAAAAGTAAAAAGTTTTAGCTCTGAAAGCAAATCAGAGCTCTGTATGTCAACTGTGGGTTTTCAAAAGCTATCACATATAAAATATTTTCTAGTGTTTTAATGGAAAGAAATACAGCATAAAGGTTGAGAGAGCATCAATGTATTTTATTAACAGAATTTAATAACTAAATCTTGCCCACTTTTTTGAATATATATTTGATGTTCCATGTCTTTTCACTTATCACTCCTTTTCAAGGGTTTTGTTTAGAAAGTCAAAGGATTTTAAAGTTTTTTGAGATCATGGTCATTATCAATTCAAAAGTAAAGAAACTTTGATGTTTCCAAGGTTGAAAAGTATAGATTCTTTATGTGAAATATATTAGGTTCATTTGTTTGAATTTATTTGCATCACCAACAAAACTGTTCCTAAGGCAAGTTAATGGCATTGTTTGTCTTAGAAGAGCATGCTTGTCAATTGTGCTGTGCTAAAAATGTCATTTAAAACATCTGAGTAGATTGCCATGTAGTTTTTCTAGGGATAAGATGACAGTTCTGCATTTCTACCTGAGGTTACTGTTATTTGATGAATGAGGCAATTTCTGATGAGGCATATTTAACCAAATGTATTTATATCAGAATATTTAAAATAAGATCAAATTTGACTTTAGAATATTAAGAATTAGCCCATTCAAATGTATCTGTAAATTGACTGTTGTTGATATCACCAAATGATGAATTGTACTATCTTGCATGTATGTTCAGCTCTGGTGATGTTAAATGTTTCCCCTTATTTGCATCCTCAGGTACTTTTCCAGTTGTATTTCAAAACCCTTCATAAAACATAATATGGAAACATAATGCATGTGATTAGTTTAGCAACAGGAGGTTGAATAAATGTATTTCTTTGGTTTATGTTTCTAATAAAAAGTAATTTTGATTTAAATTAGCACTATCTTTTTTTTTAGGCCTCCATTCCTTTGAAGGAATTGGAGCAGTTTAACTCAGATATACAAAAATTGCTTGAACCACTGGAGGCTGAAATTCAGCAGGGGGTGAATCTGAAAGAGGAAGACTTCAATAAAGATATGGTAAATTGGTTGTGATAAAAGTGTGAATGAACTAGGAGTGGAAATAAATATTTGGAAAGAAATTATATAACCCAAGTCTCCAACTGAATTTTCAGAAAACATCTTACACATTTTATGATTCTAATGATTTTATAAATGCAGAGTATTCTTGTTGACCTTTTATTATGAATGCTGAGTTACTATGGTATGGTAATATTGGAGCACTTACGGTTACTAATAAACAGCTCAGCAATTTTCTTTTGACCTGTCCTACTTTTGAACTTATCAAGGGCAAAATGTAATTGGAAAACAGGAGTCAAATCATAAAATAAACTAAACATTTAATAAAATACTCAACTATCATAGATGACTGACATTTTGTATCAGCAATGTTTTTGGTAGTATAACATTTTTTTCAATGAAGAGGGAATAATGCATAGTATGAACATTGTTTATTACAATTTCACACAAAGCTGTTTTACCAAATAGTTGATTAGTTAGTATATGTCTAAAATTTGTATAAATTTATGCTGCTTATTTCATGGGAGTAAAGAAATATGATCATGTGGGCTATTCCCAACCTCAGAATATTCTCCTTCAATCCCAACTAATTTCAAAATACCTACTATATTTCTCTCTGGCTTGAATATTTTTATATCACATCCTTATTAACTGACTTTTGTTTCTCTCTTCATCCTCCTTTTCACAGTTTTTCCCCTCTTCCACTGCCATCACCTCTGTGGCATTCTTAACCTTTACATTTATCAGTGCTAGAGCCTTCTCAGACAGTGCTTGAAAGTGACATCAGAAGGCAATATATAAATTTTAGGTAATAAGTGTGAAGCAATAGGAGAACTATTCCCACCAATCTTAGTTCCCACTTCCTGGAGCTGCCTCAATCAGTACTCCCCATGTATGGGGTTTGGTGGCCTTCCCAACTTAGCTTGTGGAAAGAAAGAAGAGGCTTTCCAAGTTGCTGAGTTACAGCAATCTCTACTTCAGGTCAAAGAAGAAACCAGAGGGCACCAAGATGAAAAAAAGTACTGCTTACCTCTTGGGCTGACCACCAACTGCCCTAGAGCCCTCAACTGGTATAGGGAAAGAAGTGAAGTGGGTTTTTAAATTTTTTTGTTTTTGTTTTTGTCCCCAGTCTTAGAAAATGCTACAGACTTTTACAGTACATTTTAAAATAAGTGAAGTCTTTCACAGACTTTAAGTATATAATGTGCCTATATGATGATAAGTATATAATGTGTCTATATTATGCTGTACATTTCTTTAGATTATTGACCAGTCTCTGACAAAAATAATCCCATTCCCCCATACAAAATGAATAAGTCCTCAGTTGTGTGTTGAAGTTTGTACATTATAGATTTAAATATATAATATGTAATTCCTTGAATTGTAATACACACACACAAATACATGTGAGTTTTAAAATTTATTATTTGTTTTCCTTATGTCAACAGTGTACCTTAAGTACCATTACATGGTGAGACAACTTGATATAAAGTTTTCACATTTTGAGTTGAAAGACAGAAAACTAAAGGTGAAAAATCACGTGGCCATATATGTGACTGTATTAGACCAGCATTTATTCAAAACATTTTGTTTCAAAGTAAAGAAAATTAAGATATTGTTCTTGCAGTCTAAAGGAACAAAATACCCATTGAAAATGTTTACAGCCATTTTCCAATCCGTATTTTAATGTTATTTGATCATATTTATTTAAAATTAACATGCATATATGAGATATTTTAGTAATTATTTTATGGTAATTTAACACATCATTTTTATTAATATCTTGATATTTCTCCTATTGGGCATGTAGGTTTCAGAAATGAAGCAGTAATTATTAGATAGGAATTAGTGTACATTTAAAACAAAATAGTTTCATGTAGTTGTGTGTTAATATTTTCAGATCTGCTGTTATCTCAGTCACAAATACACATCTGTATTCCTTTATAGATCAGTTAACATTATAAAAACATTAGCTCATTTCTCTAATTTTTTAATTTCTAGAACTACACTAAAAAAGTCAAAAGAATACTTTCACAGTAATTCATGACTTGTCTGACATGATGAAGTACCACACTCCCCCATCTTTCTACAGGTGCCCCTAAAAATGTGTTCTTTACAACTAGATGGGAGGAAACTAATTTTAAAACCTAAAGTACAAAATGTAAAAGAAAGGCTATGAGCACAGTATCTTATAACATTCCATGAAAGTTTTAAATTGGATTTTTTTGTGTGTGTTTAAATAACATGTCTTATTATCTCTGTTAACAATGTACAGCTTTTTAAAAACAAAAATGAAGACTGTACTTGTTGTTTTTAATCAGAATGAAGACAATGAGGGTACTGTAAAAGAATTGTTGCAAAGAGGAGACAACTTACAACAAAGAATCACAGATGAGAGAAAGCGAGAGGAAATAAAGATAAAACAGCAGCTGTTACAGACAAAACATAATGCTCTCAAGGTATTAGAGCTAAAATTATAATATACCTTGCCTGTGGTTTTTTTTAATATATAGGGTAAAATATATTGTGCATTAATAAAATCTGCTTAAGACTCTTAGTCATCAGAAATTCACTTTTTCTGCTCAACATGTGTGCTTTATTTAACATTTTTGAGTGGTGTTTGATTTTGAAAGATGTGTTGCTTAAAAATTATGACTTTTTAAAGACAGATTTTTCTAAGTAGTACTCGAAAGATGGAATTGCATTCATAGTACTTATACATTTAATCTTCTATTATGCTTTATTTTTATCAGTTACTTTATATTAAAAAAAACCTGCCTAACTGCCAGAATAACCAATCTACATGTATCCATTATTCCTACTTTCTTTACTTAATTGATTTTATTTGCAATAGGTCCAATTTTTTGGTAACCTGATACTTGTTTAATAAGCCCTGGATTCTTTTCATTTATTTATTTTTAAAACTTTCTTATGCCTTTAAGAAAGTCACTCTTTGCAACTCACTATCTACAAAAGTCGAATTTCATTTATATAGGAATCCTCAAAAATAATCTTACAGCCTTTGAATAAGAACGGCTACTTTCATATTAGGCAGTGTAGTATATGGCTTCAAGTCCCCACATGACTCATCTGGATTGTGCAGGAAGAGCAGGATAAACTTAATTTTTCTATAACAGTATCTAGGAAGTTCTCGAGAGTAGACAAGTAGAAAGTTTTGTGAAAGAACCTTTTTTTTTTGTATATGCTTTGCAATAATCACTATTTGCATGCATGGCTGATTTTCTAATACTGTTCATTGCTGAGCTTTTCATTGTAAATCACTCTTTGGAGCTATGTAGTTATGAAGATGGGTCCACCTAGTAGGTAGATGGAGTCTGCTTTCTACATGCAAATAAGAGAATAAAACCTTTCTCCCTATAGTCAACCAAATAAACACTGCTGAGAATGTAATTACACAATATTATGCCTGCAAGGAATCCACAAGGAAAATCTAATTGGCCAGCAGGTGTTCTGAAGGTAACTGCTGATAAATATAGTAAACAGAAAAGGCCTCTTCCTCAAGGGAGTGCAAAAGCACACCGTAATGTGTCTAGAAAATCAGAACGCTATGTAACTCACACCCTTCCAACTGTGAGCAAGCTTTCAGAAGTATCTACACTGGTAGTACGATGGCATGTGTCCTACTGAATAGCAGTGTTTAATGGTTATCTGGCATTCCTCTAAAGAAATCTACATGACGTCTCTAAATATTTTACATATTATGCATCACTTTGTGCCTAGGAAATGAAAGATGTTTCAGATTTATGACCACCAAGCCCTTTCTCTTGGCAAAGATGTGAGTTATGTCACAAATAAGGCATGGCTCAACTCTAATTCACGTGGCTGTATCTTGTTACCTTTGAAAAAAGCAGCATTCGATCTGACTCCTCAGAAGGTTTGAAAATTCAGCATAAAATGAAAAGTACAGCAAGTTTTAAATCCCCAATTTTAAACAAACTTGATAATGAAATATAGGTCATTCTTGCAAATATAGGCTATAAGTGATTAATCAAAGTCATCAACCCTACTTGCCAAACCAGTCTATACCAACATATTCAATAACTTTTTAAACCTGTCAAATGGTTCGAATTCTGGTCCTTACGAAATATTTTAGAGAAGGTCAAAACTTTCCAACGCAATGAAATTTTTAGAAGTTTTCTGATATTTATTTTTTTTAGCTTGAATTAAACCTGTGAATAAAACCCTAATTGCTAATTTCTGTAGAAATGAAAGCTGCATGCAGAGCTTATGTTCCCATGAATTATAAAATGGCATTTGACTAATTCTATTAATCACAGAAGATATTGTGTGTGCTCGCAAAGAGCATGATGACTGATTTCCCCCCATTGTAGATTTATTAAATTAGTCTTATCACATTGATTTGAAAGTATGCACTTGCTGTTTTCTTTTTTCAAACAGTTAATTGTTTTGCATTTAGAGTATGATTTGGTACAGTTAGATAAATTTGGCTATGCAAGCCTTGGAAGGAGAAGCATTTGTCTAACATAATTTTTTGTTAGTTATGTTCACAAATATATGAACAATGGTGACACTTCTACACATACAGCTTGGAACAGTTTATAAGAGAACTAAAATGGCTTTATATTTCTAATAATCAAATATTAATGGCCTATGAAATTCTTATGTAGGCACTTCTACAAACATGAATATATGTTGGTAGAGTACATAAAGTTCTGTTGATGAGTCCCAAGGCTAAAGATATACATTTTAGAATTTTACCTATTTTAAGTCAAATACAAACTCACTAGGTTTGTGAGTTTGTATCTAGTTAAGTCAATTGTATTCGTATGTTACACTCTTTCATATAAACTACACAACAATTAGCTTGTTAAGAGTCAATTAAATGTGACAAGATTTTTAAGCAAGTTTGAACATGGTAAGAGAATATACTTTAAGTGTGTTATTCAGGTTTCTTAGCTTCTTATACGTGGGTCCTGCCTCATGAATACACAATTAAGTCTTTGTATATTTTGCATATAAATATGAAGTTAACCTAAGTTGTACAAAAAGATGAGGGACACAAATTATTTTGATAAATAACTGCAGCCAGAAGTGCACTATACATATATATTGATATTTTAATAATGTCTGCACCATGAACAGGATTTGAGGTCTCAAAGAAGAAAAAAGGCTCTAGAAATTTCTCATCAGTGGTATCAATACAAGAGGCAGGCTGATGATCTCCTGAAATGCTTGGATGACATTGAAAAAAAATTAGCCAGCCTACCTGAACCCAGAGATGAAAGGAAAATAAAGGTAATGTTGTTTTAGAATGTCAATACCAGATTTTATTATACAGTTTAACCTGTGAAGATCGTGTTTAAAATGTTGATGTTCTTGTTTCTATTAATGGTCTCTTTGATTTGATGCATTTCTTTGTATTCTGTGTTGTTTTCAGTAAATGTATTAAGTGTTATTCAGTTGACATAATGTTGAATGAATAAAATGTTTTACTTTCAGACTATGTAAAATGATTTAAGAAATGTGATGTGTTTTCTGGTAAAATTGTAATTGACTTTGTGTATCTTTGTTCCAGATGAACTAATGACTTATCGGTATATGGACGACTTCTTACTCATGTTAGCACATTCATTTCATCAGAGCATCTTCTCACATCAGTGTTAAATCTCTATAGATTTATTTGCTTATTGTCTAAATATGTTTTTTCTGTTATTTTACACTTTTTATTTTGCTTCATTCTTTGTTGAGTTCCTCAAACCTTTAAAAAGGAAATAAATGACTTATTCACTTACCCTCTAAATTATATTCTATATGGATGGTCCCTAATAAATAATGAGTTATCACTCCAAATTGATTCAAATCCCAAGACACCAGAGGAATTTAGAAGAAAGAAAATGTTAGACCAATTTAAATATTTACTTAATTAGAATGTCTAAAACCAAGCATTCAAAGGATAACAGAAATAATATTTGGATTATTGAACGAGGATGACAGTCATGCCTTTCATATTTGTAAATTTCAAAGGCTGACAATAAAGGAACAACAGCCTTTAAAATTTCTGAGAGAAGTGTTTGCTGCTTGCAAGTCGGTTGATATGGTTAGCTAACTGCCCTGGGCCCTGTATTGGTTTTGCTCAATAGGAAATTGATCGGGAATTGCAGAAGAAGAAAGAGGAGCTGAATGCAGTGCGTAGGCAAGCTGAGGGCTTGTCTGAGGATGGGGCCGCAATGGCAGTGGAGCCAACTCAGATCCAGCTCAGCAAGCGCTGGCGGGAAATTGAGAGCAAATTTGCTCAGTTTCGAAGACTCAACTTTGCACAAATTGTGAGTTGTTACTGGCAAACCTACGTATGTGTTTGCAACTACTACTCTATTAACAGAGGCCTACTAATAAAAAAGAGACAAAAAATCTGGGTGCAATTTTAAACTTCTAATGTACATTCTGAAAGTGAGTAGTTTCCCTCACTTTGGGCTTCTGTAACACTAGTGCTTAATTTTACAGATTAAAGACACAAGAAGTTAACAGATAATAGGAAAAACCCCTTATCAAAAATGAAAATACATCTTAATTTTTTTTGCTACATCATTTTTCATAACATTGACAATGTTAATTTGTCAATTTATCATACATTCACTTTACTTCAGTGTCTAATCCAAAAAAAATATGTATTGCTTTCCTGAGATCATCCCATGCTGATTTTACTTTCTTAATGTATACATGATAAATAATAAATATTTTGTGGTACATCTTATGTCAACCTGCATAAGCCATTATCTCATTGACTTGAAGAATAATAACTTGGTCCTCACACCTGGTTTGACTACTTAATGGGCTACAGTGCTCATAAAAGAACTGGATGCCTAGTAAGATGGTTGGTAATTGATTGCAGATTGAACAATATCAGATAATGTTATTACTGAAATGTTCCCAGCCAAAACAAAAAGGAGTGACTGCTCTTCTTTCAGACAACTGAATTGAATGTGTATGGTTATCTCTTTAAAAAGGCAATTCAGAATTGTTAGCTTGGTCTCAGTTCTTTATTTGTAATAGGCTATAAACCATAGAGGTTTTCTGACAGGTATATTTTTGTTCCTATTATTAACTCTTGTAAGATGAAGAGGAATGATCGTCATCTGTAATTATACAAGAAAGTACTACTCCTCACAAAACCAGGAAGTCAAAGTCTGGAAACTAAGGCTTTATAGTTAAGTTAGGTGGAATTATATGAATCAAACAGATACTCAACCATTTTGCCCTATATAAATAACAACTGCATAGAGTTCAGCCCATGTATGAGACTTCTTGGGAACTTCTGTGATACTGTCAGTTCCATTTAATTTGGTGTATATTTTTAAAATGTCAAAGGCAATTACCATAACTTTATTTTATAAACATATAAGGGAAGTATGTTGCATATTATCGTGACTTCTTTTTATACTTCAAGAAAATTCATAAATACACTGTTTTCTGTTAAATCTAATACCCTAAAGTTGAATATCAGGTGAATATTCTGAGCAATTGGAAGAATACAAGGAATATTGAAACTGTATTGCATGTGAAGTCTAATTCCACCTGGCTGAATGTTTCAGCCTGTTATCCTTCATATTAGATGTTATGAACGTAATGTGTCATACATAACCTTATACTAATCAGCAAGCCTGTGTCTGTAGATGCAGTATGAAGCGAAAGATTGAGGCAATCAAAAAGAAAATTCTAGTAAAATAGTTTCACCTCAATTTAATAGATCATTCAAGGGGAAGTCTTTGCTTTGGATTATCTGACTACTAACTCAATTCTCCATTCCAATTTTCCCCATGTCTTGACACACCCAATATGCAGGTTTAAAATTCGTTGCAAACTAATCAAGTTACCAATGCTTTATAGCTAAATAGGCACAAGATCAAAAATCTCCCTAAACCGCTTACTTCAAATGCCATTATGTCCCTATTCATAGTAGACTCTCAACAAATATTTGTACAATGTAATAATGATTGGTGAAATAAAGGAAGCATATGTGAACCAGTATATATTTTTAAAAAATTATAGTAAAATTATAGGACGTATTTTCCTCATAAACGATTTCTTCTTAAATTTTATACATTAAAGATACAAAATTCAGAATGTGAAGGGGGCTATTTTTGTGTTAATTCTTAATTATCCATGATAATAAAGTGATCACAATATATATGAAGAATAATCAATTTAATATCACAGTTATATTTGGCATTGGATTTTAATTAGAACTGAAGGATAATTGATAGATGACAAATAGGTATATAGGTTGGTAGGTAGATGGACAGGTGGATGTAGAAATATTCAAGATGTATCTTTATACTTTACCAATTGTCAATGCATTTTGAAACTAATTTCACTGTGGCCACTGATTAGAGTTATCTCTCTCAATTCTTATGCACTAGAGTCATTTGTGGTAGTCACAGTAAGCAGATTAATGAAAAGTAGTATTTGATATAACCTTACAATGGCTCTGATGCAACATATGCCATAGCTTCAGAATTTCTTACTTCCCCCTGTATTCTCCTTCTCTAATTTTTTGATTTTTATTTTTCCTGAGTGTCCCTTTCTGTTTTCTTTTCTAGACATAAACTCTAGGCTTAAAGTTAATCTTTCATGTCTTTACAGCAACAGTTTGAAATAGGAAGCGGTACTCCTAAAGTACTTAGTATGTGAGAGCTGAGTGAGTTTAAAATGAAAAATTAATTTTCCTTATTTCACAGATACTCAGAGAACTGCTAAACACTGTAAAATTAAGGCATTTAGGAGACTCTGTCCATGTCAGAGCTCTATATGGTAGTAATAAAGCTCAGAAAAGGACTGAGACTTTGAGGGAACAATCATGAGGAGGCGCCCAGCCACACAGGAATGCAGACCAAAGCATAGTAGAGGGTATCTGCAAATTATGGTCCTCAGGGCAAACCTGAAGATAATAAAGAAGAGGCAGGAGACTGGGAGGAAGCAGGTAAAAATTTTTACCAGATATTCACAATGAGAAAACTTCTGCCTTAGTTAGGAATTCCAAACATTTCTAATGTATTTCCTGTTGGTTTAGAAACTAGGTACCTCAGTTAAGACCAAACACAGAGTGTAAACTGAGGAAAAGAGATATTCCTATATGATGTATTATCACAGCAGTATGGTCTAGTAAAATTAATTCTTGGATAAACAGTCTTGAATATGAATCCCGGTGACTTTGAGTGCTGTATGATCATGGATAAATCATTTTGAGTCTCATTTATTTCATCTGTACAATGGAGATAAGGATGTTTGTGAGGATCAAATAAGGTAATATTTGTCCAAACACCTGCTGTGTTATGTAGGTTCAATGCATCAGTTTTCTTCTTCTCCTTTCTGTATATACATTAACATTGGAAAATAGACATAATCTTTGATTTTTAAAATATTTTCATAAGTCATTAAGAGAATTAAGTATGTGCTGTTTGTTTAACATATTAGCAACAGATATTTTGTTCAGTGAAAATTTCAAATTTGATTCCATAATATATTAGCAGATACTTTTCTCTAGATTCACAGAATAAACACAGGAAATATCACACAAATCTGATGACTGCCAAGAAAGGGCATGATTTTCCATAAACTACCCCACTGACCTCTATCTGGATTCTTCTACCTAAAGGCACTGGAAACTCCACAGTAGACAATTGTTTCTACTTTTTTATGCTTCACTGTAGCATTTGGAAAATAACCTCAGAGAGCCCAGGCATTTGCAACCACAAAATTGTATAATGAAGATACTACTACAACCCCCAAAGCTCATGTGAAACTCCTAAGCAAGATAAACTTACAAACTAAAATTATGATTATTATGGAAAAAAATTATAAGCAACGTTATCAGATGCCAAACATTAAAAGGAGAATGTATACCTGAAGAAAATAGAGATAAGAGGATAATCACCAAAGGATATTCAGTAATATTTAATGTTCAAAAATAAAAATTAAATGGATTTTTTTCCAGTAAGAATAGGCCATTATATAAAGTGAAGAGGAAGATTTGAAAAAACAAAGTCTAGAAATGAAAATATAATTAATTGCTCAAACATCTGCATGAAAGAAGTTTCAAGTTGGAAAAATGAGGATTATGGGGAAGAGACAATATTTCATATTAATGATATTTAATAAAATGGAATAGATGTAAACTTAAATGAATCCTCAAATTCAATAAAGGTCAACCAATGTGGAAAAAATAAAAGCAAGTCTACCAACTAGCTCTGAATGAAACTCAGAGGATCAATAGCCAAAAAGGTATCATAAAGGTTACTAAAGACAAAAGAACATTTACAGGATGACAATATTCACTGCAGACTTCTCATCACCAATAAACATTAGAAGATAGTGGAATATTATCTTCAAAATGCTAGGCACATTTTCAAATACCAGGGAAAATATGATTCAAGAATTAAGGCAAAATATTTCCAGACATACAACTAGTTTCACCTAAACAAAAACTAAGAATGTCTTACCTATAGATTTTTGCTAAAATAATTCCTAAACAATATACTTGTATAAAATAAAATGAAACTAGAAGGAAGGAGACAGCTATGTAAAGCTGTGTAAAATTGTTTTCTCTATGTAAATAAGAACATTTGTAAAAAAAAGCTTATAATCCTAAAATTTGGTCAACGCCACCAAGGAAAACACAGAATACTAGGAGAATGCAGTATTTAACTGATCCTATGTAAAGAGAGATAAAACAAAAGACTTATTACATATCCTATGTATTACATATCCTATGTATTATATATCCTGTGTATTATATATCCTTAATACATATGCTATGCATTGCATATCCTATGTAAAGGGAGATGAAGCAAATATAAGACTTATTCTACATAATGTCAACAAATATAAGGGTTGTGCATAATGTGTTCAATATCAATTATTACCAATTATAATGTTTCTAGATAGCAAAAAAGTGCTAAATCTCTGAAATATGCATACGTGCATGACCTTTCCACGAAGAGGAGCAAAAAATACAAAAAAAATCCACCTCAATGAAGAAAAAGAAATGTCCATCTTCTAAATACATTTCCACTTGAGCTGAACATGTTATGACATCAAATACCAAGTATATGATCTTGATGTTTAACATTTTATATCCAAACTCTTGATGTTTAACATTTTATATAACAAACTCTTATCTTGGATACCTAATGAGCATCTCAAACATGCAATAGCCAAGTGAAAAATAAATGATCCACCCCCCATCTACATAAATTGGCACCTACCAACATCTCCAGACGTTATTAAATTGCACTATCATTTACCTAAGTCAGAAACCTAGACATCC